TTTCACGGAGCTCTAGCTAGGAGACCTAACTGCAGCAGCGGAAAAAATGGAACTGAATGGCTGTTAGGGCGGGCGGACCATGAGGTCCTGGGGGGGCGGAGCCAAAAGTGTTACTTTAAGCTCTAGAATGTTCCGAGGCCTTCTGCGCAAGCGCAGATTAACCCATTAGTGTGATTTCACAGAGTCCACGAAGAAGAACATGGCATCTTTTGATACTGGTACCCATGAATACTTGCAGACTCTTCCTGACCGTCCCTTTTCCAGCACAAACAAGGCAACCTCTCTACCTTTTTTAAAAAATGGATTACCTGATGAGATCTGGAGATCTTGAAAGCTTGCACAATGCATGTGCTCTTTTAATTAGCCTTATAATTGCATTTATTTATTTCCTTACTTACTTAGGTAAGTAAGGTTCCCCTTGACATTTAGTCCACTTGTGTCCGACTCTAGGGCGCAGTGCTCATCCCCCTCTCCAAGCTGTAGAGCCTGCGTTTGTCCGAAGTCAGCTACTTACTTACTTACTTACTTACTTACTTACTTACTTACTTACTTACTTACTTACTTACTTACTTACTTACTTACTTACTTACTTACTTACTTACTTACTTACTTACTTACTTACTTACTTACTTACTTACTTACTTACTAATTTAAACTTCCATTATCACCCCACAGTGCAACACACTCCCTGGCCAGTTTACAACAAGCATTCAAATAAAGAAATAAATACAAAACAATATACAAATCAACAGTCAATCACTCAATCAATCAATCAATAGGACCACTGCCTGGCTAACCTATATTAAGATAAATAAACAATTTGAGATGACATTGGTATGAACTATTAAAAGGCAGGTTTGAACCAATCATTTTTTACTGCCTTCTTAGAGACTGTGGGGGAAAGCGCCTGGCAAACCTCAGCTGGACGTTTATTCCAGAGGTGTGGAACCACAGCCGAAAAAGACCGACTTCTGGTGTTTGCTATTTTAGACTCCCTTGGTGTTATTGTTTTGAACATCCTGGGACTGTCCAAATATGGAATTTGAAATAAGCCCAGCCCAGCTACTTCTGCTTTTTGTAATTGGTTTTTGGCCCCCTTAGTGAGTGGTGGAGAATGATGGGATATGGCAATTAATGATAAATTGACATGTGATATGAAAATAATAAGAGGTGTATAAAAAATAATGATTTTAAGAAAACATGGAGTGCATTCCTGGAATACGTATTTTCGGAGAGGGAAGGGGTATACGCTAAGCGAAGAAACAATGAATTTTTGGAGAGAAAATGGATTGAATGAATTTTTAAAATATTATTAATGCTAGCCCTGAGTGTGAAGGTGGCAATGGTGTATTACACAATTGTGTTTTAATGTGGTGTTTATTTATTTATTTATTTATTTCATTTATACCCCGCCTATCTAGTCAATTGTGACCACTCTAGGCGGCTTACAACATACATTTAAAAAGAAACATATAACAAACCACATCACAAATAATAATTTACATAAATTAAGATAAAATAAAAAAAAAATTTTTCCCCAAATATGGCGAGAAACGGGATATATTATAACAGAAAAAGAAAGTGTTAGGTAGAAAGGGGGAAGGCCTGCCTAAACATCCATGTTTAATAAAATTAAAAAGAGAGAGAGAGAGAGGTGGTGCTTCCAACATTTTAATCAAAAGCTAATTACTATGTGTTACTAGTTCCCTTATTCTCAGACCAAAGCTCAAAAACTTCACCTTTTTTGGACTAGTCAATCATTTTCCTTAATTAATTAATTTTCTCTATAAGGGAAAAAGGGAATAAATGAAACAGGGTTTAAAAGCAATGAACACGAGCCTCATGGGATAGCGGCCAAACAGCTCACAACCTGAGTTTGATCCCTGGGTTCAGGTAGCCGACTCAAAGATGACTCAGCCTTCCATCCTTCTGAGGTCAGTAAAATGAGTACCCAGTTCGCTGGGGGCAGGGCGGGCAATGTGTTGTGTGCCTAATTATGTTGTAAACTTCCCAGAGAGTACCTTAGCATTGTGGGGCAGTATATAAGTTGAATCAAGAACAACAAAATGTTCTGGCGCATTAAACAGATTTGTTTCCATGTGAGCTGTATCTATTATCTCTATCCCCACCAAATCACGACTGTCCATATACACGAAGTGAATTTTGATCACAGAAACATATTCTTATGTTTTACTGTATATATTTTTATTGGAAGCCGCCCAGAGTGGTCGACCAGACCAGATGGGCGGGATATCAATCAATCAATCAATCAATCAATCAATCAATCAATCAATCAATCAATCAAACAAACAAACAAACAAGCAAACAAGCAAACAAACAAATAAATAAGCAAGCTCACATGGAAACAAATCTGTTAGCCTTGAAGGTGCCACAGAATACTGTCCTTTGCTTCCCCCCTTTCTTTTTTCTTTAACCCTTCATTTTCTATGGAATCATAGAATAATTGAGGTGGAGGGAGCCTATAAAGCCATCAAATCCAACGCCTTGCTCATTCCAAATCAAATCAGATCTGACTGAGGGTTGCATAATTTTCTCTTGAATGCCTCCAGCATTGGAGCACTCACCCCCTGCTGAGGTAATTAGTCCCATTGTCATACTGCTCCAACCGTTAAGATGTTTTTCCTGATATTCAGCCTAAATCTGACCTCCTGTAGCCTGAGCCCATTCTTATGCGTCCTGCAATCTGGAATGATCAGATCCTGCCCCTCTTTTGTATGACTACCCTGTCTTCTTTTGAAACTGCCACAACAGTAGTCCAAAATAGTAACTTTTTCCAACCTCTTGAGTCTGATCATGGACTGATCCAGCCTAGTAATAGTTATTCTGAATCTGGCTTAACAGTGTCATCTTGCAACCTCCAACTATTCTCAACCACCTGCTGCTCAATTAGAAGCTCCACCATCTCCTGCCTGAAACCAAAGGACCTAGTTTATTGGGAGGATGGGGTTTGTCAGCCAAAATATCTGTAGTCCACAAAGCTGGGAAAGGTCGAAAGTTGGAGTAAATTCAAGATAAGAACTTTAATTTGGTAGAACTTCTCTGGTAGAATCTTGCTTCAGCCAATCAGGTTAAGTACAATATCTTAGCCCACTTCTCTGGACATTGAGTAAAAAAACGGTAGTTCTCCAAAGCTCATCTGACTAATACAAACCTCCCATTCATCCCAGCATGGCCAATGATCAAGGATGATGGGAGCTGTAGTCCAAGATCCCTTAGAGACACATGAGTTTGCCACTAATGATGTCCCAGGAATAACTGACATATAATAATAATCATGTGTCATCAAGTCAATTCAGAGTTTTGGTGACCCTCTTTTGTGGCAAAGAAGTGGTTTACCATTCCTTTCCTCTGGGGGTTTACCATCTCCTTTCTCCTCACAGGAGGCACAGCGGGGATTCAAACCTCTGGATCCGCAACCAGATACTTA